AAAACTTTCTGTTTAAATAAAAAATGTTAGGTTCTCACCCTTCCTATGAGAACAATCTGGTGAAAAACTTGTCTAAAAAAACGTTTTTGATAAACAATGTTTTTTAGGAATGTTCTTTTTTACAAGATAAACCAAACATGAGAAACTAAATAGTCGTTTGATTTCGCAAAATATTTTTACCAATGTTTCCTACAAAACTATTCACATGGGAGTAGGTGAAATTCTAACATTCTCAAATTAAAATAAATGTTTTATTGTAGTAAAACTATTATATTGTCTTAATTTACTTAATTGTTATAGTAAAAATCTTTGATTTCTAAGTAATATTTATAAACATTATAAAAAATATTTATGACCAACAAAATATATTTAATTATTTATGGAAATTATGATTCTAGGATTTATGATTCTCAATAAGGGTGTGACAATGAACCGACCCAACTTGAAACTAGATTGAAACTCAATTTAACAATTAACTCATTGGACTTGATTCATAAACTAAATGAATTGAAATTGAGGTAGAAATTTTAGAATTTGATGGGTGTAAATTGAGTTTTATTATTATTTTATATAAGGTGAAATAGTTTTAATTTATGTAGACTTTAGTTGTAATTATATTTCTTCAAGGTCATATCTTGTAATCTTGCAAAAATCAATAGAATAGGTTATGTTTTTTTCTTTTAAAAAAATATTTTATCTAAAATTTATTATTAAATTAAAAATTTGTAATATACAAGATTTTTAAAAATTTTGAGATTTGGCTTATGTAATTTGAGCTAATGAGCTAACAAGTTGAATTGAGTTGCTAACAAGTCTAAATCGAATTAAGTTCAAGCTAAAAAACAAAGATTTTATGTTGAAATAGAGTCAAATTACAAGCTGAGCCAAATGTTATTGAGTCAAGTTGAACTGGACTAAACTTGACTCAACTCAACTCGTTTTCACCCCTAATTCTCATAAATTGTGATTCCTAAGCATGAAAAAACTTATCATCCACCAAAGGCCCCTTAATTTTCCTAATTTTTATTTTTGGAAAAGTAAAAAAAAAAACTTGTGCCAAACAGGTAAACTAACATAATCATTTTTATCTATCAATTTATACATTTGTTTTTATAAATTTTAAGGAGGTCATGAAAATATTTTTATAGCAATTTTAATACGTTTAAGAAAAAAAATAAGAGAGACTATAGCCCCATGTTTCCTTTTTCCTCCAGTATTGATGATAGGTCACTAGTAAAAAATATGCATACGACATTGACATTTAAAATTGGTTAAATGAAACTAATTTTAAAAGAGACATGTTGACATTTTTGTAAATAAGGGATTCATTTTTAAAATTAGTTTCTATTTAACCAATTTGAAAAGCACTTACAAAATCAATCACATGCATAATTGATTTCGTAAATGGAATTGTAACACTAGTGATTTTTGAGTTTTATTCATTAATTATGCAGTATGTGATTAATTATTGTTCTAATTGTTGTTGTTTTAAAGATGTAAGGATCAACGACCCTTAAAAGTTAAGTTGTTATTGAGATATTTTTAGTTAGGGTCAAAAATTGATTAAGTTTAGGAAATGACATATAAGATTTTTTTTAAATATAAATTTCGTAAGCTCGTATATTCATAAAGCTCAATGAGAAGTCAAAGAGAGAGAGAAATTAAACTAATCATTTGTAGGAGATCTGCATAAGTTGATATACAAGACAAAACATTAATTGTTTATATTGATAATTTTGCGCATATTGTAAATTGTATTCAATGATTAAAAGTTGTAAATTATGATGATAAATTGATGTTGTGTTATGAACTAGTTTGAAGTTGTTTATATCGTATAAGTTATAAATTTATTTATTGTTACTATGTTGATTATTTCACAAGCTTATTCTTTGGTTTTTTTATAATTGAATTGTAATAATCATACTTGATATAAGAGCATGACAAAATTAACTTTCATAGTTAGCTTGTAGGTGAATGATCATGCTAGAGATGACCAATTTTGTTTATACTACTATGATATAGTATGGTTGTATATAGACGCTTGACTTATGATAAAGTTTATGTTTATAGTACTTGATTATTTTGAGATATATTATATATATGTACATGGTATAAATGTATCCCATAAAAAACTTTGTTTTTTAATCTTATATGAAGTAACTATTTTAAATTTTTTGCACCTTTTATATATATATATATATATATATATATATATATTTTGCATGAGTTCTAAGATAATTGTTGCATAAGAATGTAATTGATGACTTTGTGTTTTGCATTGCATAATAAATGTATTGTATTGAGTAGAGTAGTCTATCGGGCTATTACAAGATTTTAAAAAATAGAGTGTTTAGAACAATTTTACATGTAGTCTACGAATTCAATTTTAAAAGAACCAATCTTATATCATTCACGTTTTAAACACAACTCTGTTCCCCGTTTGCTTATATCGTCTGGTGCGGACGCCTTCTTTCCTTTACTTTCCATTCACATTTTGAACAAATACACCAATTATTAGCTCTTAAAGATAAGACTCATAATAGGAAAATGATAAAACGTTTGAATGGCATTCCAAAATACATTCTGAATAATTAAAACAATAATTTAAATTATAAAATATTAAAGTAAATAATTATTTTATAATAAATTTATTAAAAAATATTAATTTTTTAATAGTCAGAGGATGATTCACAAAATCCCATTATTTGAATCATGACAACCAACTCAAATTTCAAATTCTTCTCAAATCTAGAAAATGAGTAAGGACATTGAATGTTATAGTCTTAGACTATCTCCAAATTGTCCTTAAAATATTTTACACACAAAAAATGCTAACAACATATTCTAATACATTATTTTTGAACATGTTCCTTATTTTTAATTGAAATTTATTAGAAGATCTCAATCTTTCATGAATCTCTTTTTTTTATTTAAAAGATATATATAAAATTTCTTCAACTAATAATAGTGTGTGCAAAAAAATGTGTAATAAACACACATTTTTTGCACACACTATTTTTTGCTAAAATATATTTTTGATCTTCTTTCATATTGTTAAAATATGTATCAGTTTTTTATTTAAATATTAATTTTGTTCTCTAACTTACAAAATTGAGTTAATATTTTTTAAAATATTAATTATTTTCAATTTTTGGAGGCATAATGTTGAAGTATTTTTTGACCTATTCATGACATAAATTTTGCATTGTCAGATTCACTTTATATGAAAAATGTAGAACCCATTTTAAGTTGGAACCAAAAAGTTCCACAAAAATACTAAAAATTACGGGAAAAGTAAGTCTGACAAACAACCAAAAATTAAAATCTTTAATATCAAATTATTTATCAGTTGTACGAGTCAACCTAACATATTATTAGTCCTAAAACAAAATTTAAAATAAATTTTTAATTAATAATAATATTTTTAATAAAAAAATATTATATTTTAAATATAAATTTTGAAAAAAATAATTATATTTGTATATTTTTTATAAATGAATATTTTAGAGAAAATTTTTAAGAATAAAAAATACCTTTAAATTATAAGTCTTGAAAAATTTATATAAATATTAATGCGAAATATTTTTTCAAGAAACAAAGTAAAAACCTTATTAATCTTATGCTTGGATCGATTCTGGAATGATAATGAAACTTCCTTTTCACGCAATTTTTTCCATATGTTAGTGATACCTTTTTAACTTAGATATATTGATTGAATTTTCTAATTATATATAAGTTAAATTAATTAAATAAATTTTACATTTTGAATTAATAAAAAGAAATTGTACTCCAAAAACTAAATAAATTAGTAACTAATATATATATATATATATATATATATATATATATATATATTATATATATATATATATATATGGGGAATGTTAATGTACTCCCATCTATTTTTTAGTGGGAGTATGTTAGTAACCTACACCAAAATTTTAGGAAAAAAAACTACTAATTTCTTTTGATTTGGTTAATTCGTACAAAAGATATTATAGTAATTTAATTTAATTTTAAATAAAAATAAAATATTTTATCTCTCTTATTAATTTCATTCTCCAATTCATTTATTTTTTCTATTAATTAATTTTTATTTATTCAGATAGAGGGGAGACATCATGAGAGATGAAAGAGAAATGAGTTAAAGAAAGAATTTAATAAGAAAGAGATAAATAAGTTAGAGAAAAAATTTAATAAGAAAGATAAATGAGTTGGAGAAGAAATTTAATAAGAGAGAGAAATGACTTAAATACTTAAAAATATATCTTATATCCCATATCATTTCATTCTTTTACTTTCTCTTGTATCAAACATTGTAAAAAGAAAATATTTTTCTCTTTTCTCTTTTTCTTTTTTTAAACCAAAATACACTAATACTTAAGAAATAAATGTTAGGAACGTGGCATTGACACGCTTTTTAAATGCTTTTTTTATCAGTTTAAATAAAAAAATATAAAATATGATGAATCACACATCTTATTTAATATTTTTTCATAAATTTTAAAATTTTAAATAATTTTTATCCAACAATAAATATATTCAAAGAAATGCATTAAAAACTACCGCTTCTTATTTGAAAAAAAAATATAATAATGGTGAAAATTCATACAAAATTTCAAGACTTAATTGCATTTTTTTACAATCTATGTTTTTTGATATGTCATTATTTACAATCTAAAATCATTATCATAGGATGTTAATTTAATAAGTATTATATCACATTATCATTCACATATGATATTAACAATTAATATATTACTTCAATAATCAATATATTATATTAATAATTAATATTATATTATCAATTAACTAAGCACATAGACAAAATGAAATGAGTAAGATATAAAATTTTTTTAAAAGTAATTTGAAAAGTTGATGAGAAAATACAGAAAATGGTGAAATAAGAATACAAATTTAGAATATCTAGGTGGGCCCAACAGAGATACTGATACACCCGAACCCAGTCCCAAGTCCCAACAAATTAAGAAATGGCGAAAGCAGTTATAAATACGCATTGCATTGTCTTGGGCAGCAGATCTGGGCGTTTGCTTTCATCACTTTCACTATGGCTTCCGAAGGCGTTCTCCTCGGCATGGGCAACCCTCTTCTCGACATCTCCGCCATCGTCGACCAATCCTTCTTAGAGAAGTACCTTTTTCTTTTCATCTGCACGACACCGTTTCATACCACATCGCCAATCCTTTACTTCGCTTTTGAATGATTCATGATTTTTTTCTTCTTCTTGTTTTTGTGTGTGGCAGGTATGGTATCACCTTGAACAACGCGATTCTTGCGGAGGACAAGCACAAACCTATGTAAGAAAGATATTTTGCGTTACGTTATTCGCCCTACCGCGATGTCGTTTTGTATAGTTGAGTGTGATTGCTAGAATTTATGAAGCTTTGTTAGATGTGATATCTTTTGTGGGTTGGTTCATTTATTACAATCATCGCAGGTATGAAGAAATGGGCGAAAAATTTAACGTGGAGTACATTGCTGGAGGTACTGCACTAGATCTAGATTATTGGATTTCGGATAATTGCTTTAGAGCCGGTTTGAATCTAAGTTTAAAAACGTTCAACTTAAAAATACTCTTTATTTCCGGTAGAAAATCTTAAGAATGTGATTCTAGCTTGCATCCAATCATGTCCTTAATATTTAACATCATAACCAAATTTGGTAAAAAAAAAATTCAGCAGTGGAATGGAAGTGTGCACGTTTTGATCATGACAATTTCTACAATTTTGTTTTTTTGTGCTGGCAGGTGCCACTCAGAATTCAATCAAGGTTGCTCAAGTATGTATCGGTCTTGTTAACAATACTCTGAATTTATAGTAGCTTTGGTTTAGTCAAAGTAATGTTTACCTTTAATTTTGTCTCTTATAGTGGATGCTTCAAGTGCCCGGGGCAACTAGTTATATGGGCAGTATTGGAAAGGATAAGTTTGGGGAAGAGATGAAGAAGAACTCGAAGCTTGCTGGTGTAAATGTAGGTTTAATCTTATGATTTATCTTCTCCTTTCATTGTCATGTTGTTCTGTATAGTGGCTGTTTTTAGTAATAAACTTATTTATTCATCCGTCAGGTTCACTATTATGAAGATGAAACTACACCTACTGGAACTTGTGCTGTATGTGTACTTGGTGGCGAAAGGTCGGATGATCAGATTTTCCCTGTGGTTTTTGTTTGTGTGTTGCTTTTTTACCAATTGGAATTACTTTGTACGCTGTTTCTAATTTCTAAAGAAAGTATATACATTCATTTTTAACTTGTTTCCAAATTTTTTTTTTTGAAACCTTACATTTGATTGCATCTGAATACAGGTCTCTTGTGGCTAACTTAGCAGCTGCAAACTGCTACAAGTCCGAGCATTTGAAGCGACCAGAGAATTGGGCACTAGGTACCCTGTTGTTGGTCTATGCAGGCTCTCTTTTATTTCTGTCTCCTTTTTATATCTGAATAATTTGGAGGACTGACATTTTTTATTGTGCAATTTTCCCTCACACAGTTGAAAAGGCCAAGTATATTTATATTGCTGGCTTTTTCCTCACTGTATCACCAGATTCTATCCAGTTAGTTGCTGAGCATGCTGCTGCAAACAACAAGGTTAAGTACGACTGAAAAATTGGTGTTCCCTATTGTCAGTTTCTCATATTTTTAATTTTATTCCTGTATGCAGATTTTCTCGATGAACCTTTCTGCCCCTTTTATCTGTGAGTTCTTCAAGGATGTACAGGAGAAAGCTCTACCGTAAGGATCCATTTCTGATAAATAAATTAAAAGAATGAAATTTTACATATATGTTTTTCTTAAGGGTGCCCATTACGTGATTCAGGTATACAGACTTTGTTTTTGGAAATGAGACTGAAGCAAGAACTTTTTCTAAAGTTCATGGATGGGAGGTAAACCACATCAAATTTGTAGGCTTGCAATTGGTGTTGAACTGTTGAATGTTAAATAGTTAACCCCGTACATCTTTTGACCCCCTTCCCTTTTTTCTAGACTGATAATGTCGAGGAGATAGCTCTAAAGATTTCCCAGTGGCCAAAGGCATCGGGAACGCACAAAAGGATAACAGTTATCACACAGGGTGCAGATCCTGTTTGTGTTGCTGAGGATGGTAAGGTGAAAAAGTTCCCTGTGGAACTTTTGCCTAAAGAGAAACTAGTTGACACAAATGGAGCAGGTACTGGGCTACTACTTTTAGGAGTTCAAATGTGGAACTTGCGTATATAATTTCTATGCATTTATGTTCTTATAAATGATCTCATTCTGGTTTTCCATGGTGGTGGTAAGGGAAACTCGATTGGGGTAGAGTGGATTAGTTGGAGGATAGCACCTATAGATAGAAGTGCAAAATCATTAGGAAGGACTTGGATGTTGCTTGTTGAGTAAGGGGAAACTTGATTGGGGTAGAGTGGATTAGTTTGTGGAAACATTGCTATATACTTATCTTCCTTTTTTTGTGTTTGTAGGAGATGCATTTGTTGGAGGATTTCTTTCACAATTGATTCTGGAGAAGCCCATTGAAGAATGTGTGAGAGGTGGCTGTTATGCAGCAAACGTTGTCATTCAGAGGTCTGGCTGCACGTACCCAGACAAGCCTGATTTTCACTGAGTTTTTGATTGTTAGGAAACCTTTTGATGTATTTTGATAATTGCAGTATTACTGCTTTTGGATTTTTCTGATTTTCATCGAGTTCTTTCTCTCGAATCTGTTGGCTTTATGAAACTGTTTGTGATTGTTAAGAAACCTTTTTATTGTAGTATAACTGCATTTGGAATTTCCAATACCAAATGGGGAAAACGAGGAAAAAGTTTTCAGCGGAAGGAAACAAATAATTCAACTGTTATATTGCAGTCCTATTAGGACATCGTTTCATATTTTTGATGAGTTTGTTATCGAGTCTATTTTATTTGATATTAAACAATGTTATTGTGCTTAGACTCTGTCTAACTTGCCACTTCTAGTGTCATTTAACGGCCGATTGATAAAGTTTGAGAAAGTTATAATATAATATATTTCGAAGATATTATCTAGTTTAAGAAAAAAATAATAACTTTTTTTTTGTTTGTAGTTTTTATATGGAAAAATGCATAATTACGTCATAGACGGGTCCTTGGAGACAGGATTTTGTAAATGCTTGAAATTGGCAAAATTTCCTAAAAATCATTTTTTTTTTGCCGGGTTAGTGATTTTAGAAATCGACTAGAATGCCCCATAAGATTTTATTTTTAATATTTACAAAAAGTTGATTATTTGTTTATGATGGTTTGTTTGTCACTCCCTCGTAAGAAATAAATTAGTATTTTTTTTAATTATAAGAAACATAAACTTATTTTAAGATACATTAATTGTTAATTTTATATTCTTTATATATTGTACAAATATATTAATAAAACATTTAAATTGATGCATATATTGATCCTCAAAAAATTGGTGGTTGACTTTAATTTTACACAGAATCATTCTTTGTTATAATCAAAACTTATTATTATAAAAAAAAAGTACATTAAATCATCTCAGAATTAGGTGTGATGTTATTAAATATAATTATTATTTAAATAGTTTAATTTAAAATTTTGAAATAAAATTTAAATTTATGACATTAAGGAAAATTAATTACTTAATATATATATATATATAAATATATATATATATTCTTTTAAATATATATTATTATATATATATATATATATTTTTTTTTTCTTTTAAATTTGCAATTCAAAGTAATTAGTGAAAAGAGTAAATATAGAAAGAGTCAATAAGTCAAGATGGTATTTTATCTATTGGATCTCATGCTTTTTATATGGACCTCATTTATCAGGCAACAAGAATCAGACAGGCCTCAAAGCACTTTATTAACGTGTGCAAAGGGTTTATTATGCCTTTGCTTAGACCAAATTACCAATTCATTGACACTTTTATGCAGCTGGATCGCTATAACATGCTTTATCAGATTTCATACAAATCAACCTTAATTTCCCCGACAAATACTAGTTAAATAATAGCCTGATACACATTTTTTTTTTTAAAAATATATTTTTAATTTATTAAAATTTGCCAAAAACCATAAAAGTTTGTTAAGTTTTATATTTTATTTAATGATATTTTTTTCCTTTTAATTTTATAAATTTTAATTAATAATACTGGAAGGGAGTATATTACCATTCCTCATGTCTCCTTTATTGCTAAATGTCATTATTCTATTCTAACCTTCCACTTTTCGCTGAATAAGTTTAATATCGAAATGATTTCATCACTCATTAAACGGTTTTCTCAATGAACATACATATTTGAGTTTTTTTTTAATTATCATTTTTTACAGTTTTTTTGCCTCCATTTTAACAATAAATAAATATTTATCACCGGTCCTAATAGAAACTTGCATGAAGTATTTGCGTAAAAGTGAATCTTTAAATTTTGGAGCCATTTTCGAAGAATGGGACGGAGTATTGATTAATTGAACTATTTATTTATATATTTCAAACGAACTTTTCATATTCGTGTTCCTTTTCTTTTGCTTGCAATGTTTTTGTGGTCACCAATTTATGATCGAGAGAGTGAGTTAGTATTTTATGATGATTATTTTGAATTTTGGAAGCCCAAGCCCATGATGGACGATCCAGGAGGAGGAGTTGTTGGATTTGATTTGAGGCAGAGCGTTGAAAGCACGGGCCTAGCGAAGCGCGTGAAGGAAGGTCCCTTGGCCTTGGGAGAGTCATAGCATAGGCATTAGGGAATAGGGAGGCACCACCTTGTCTCTTGTCTCTTGTCTTAACCGTGTGGAAAGAAATCGCTCGCAAAGAAGAAGAGAAAAAAAGAAGAAGAAGAAGCCCCAAAAAAAGGAAGGTTTGGAATCGCGATGAGCGAGCAGCACCCACGGTTGCAGCAGCTGCGTAGCACCTCGCACCTTCTCCGAGAATCAATTAACTCATTCTCCTCAAACCTCATCACATTCCTCTTCCTCTCACTCCTCACCCTCTCTTTCCGCACCCTCGTTGAAACCGGCACCGCCCATGTCACCGCCTTCATCGACCGCGACCCCTCCCTCCGCGCCCTCCTCTCCCGCCTCGACCTCGCCGGAAACACCAACGCCCACGGCCACGGTCACGGTCACGACCTCCCTTCCCCCAACGCCGCCCACGCCCTCCGCCGCCGCCGCCCTTTTCTCCACCTCACCCGCGTCGGAACCCTAGACGACGATTTCTTCTCCGGCGACGACGACGACGCCCGCTCCCTCTTCGGCTCCATCGCCAAGCCCCCCGCCAACGCTACTCTCCTCGCGCTCCACCCCTTTCCGGCCACCTCCGCCTTCTCCGATCTCCTCTCCGACGACGGAATTAGGGTTTCCGAGGTCGTCCGCTCCGGAACCTCCTTCAACACCGACGGATTATCCCCTCCATTGACGGCGATTCGCGACGACGAAGACCGCGGCGGTGAGGATAAGGAATTGGAGAAGAGGAGAGAGGGGAACGTGGATGTGCAATTCTTCGTGAAGGGGATGGAGGTGGGCCGGCGCGACGCGGCGGCGCTCTTCTTTCTGGTGAGTTTCCTCTCCGCCGCGTACGGTTGGGTGATCCTGGTTTTTCTGGTGACGTACTCGTGGGTGCTTGGTGTTGTTTTCGTTGCTGTTGTTAACGATCTTATAGGGAGGTTTAGTTCTGTTACTGGTCTTGTTTGGGATGGCTCGAGGTTAGGTCTCAAGAGGCTTTCGGGGTTTATTCTGATGCGTTGGGCTGTGAGGGATGCGTTGACTCAGATTCTGGGGTTGTGGTATTTCGGAGAAATTGAGGATCAGTACTCGTTTTTCAAGCTGTTTGTTAGGTTGAAATTGATGCCCTTCTCGGTTATGTCGCCCTGGGTTAGAGGGTTTGAGAGGGAGATTTCTGGGTTCTTGTTTACTTGGTTTCTGGTGGATACTTTTGTGGCTTTTATATTCTCTGTTGATGCTTGGGTTGCCATTGTGGATTCAAGGAAGAGTGGGAGAGAGATTGTGAAGGAAGGGTGTTATCTGATATCTACTATGTTGAATCAAGCTATTCAGGTGAAGTGCTTGGAGGCTGTGCTTTGTGGGTCGTTTGTGAGGTGGGGTTTGGGCAGAGTCTTCGGGAGGTCGTTCGCCAAGATGTTTCAGTCAACCATGGAGGTTTACTTCATGGTTGCTTGGCTCTTGTTTTACTTTGCGGCACGGTGTAGGGACGCTGAACTTCAGGGTAGGAGGTTTGGGCAGAGGGAGTTGGAGGGGTTGGTTGAGGGTCACAGATGATACTTGGAGGTGGTTGGATTTGGATGGATGACTTTTTTTTAATTGTGATGCACAAGTAGCAGCAATGTTTCACAGGTTCGTGTCTCTCCCACTTTTGCAGTTGCTGTTGGCTGTTGCCGCCATTCTATAGTTTTGTCACCATCGATGATGTGTCAAATGTGTACTTCACCAGAAGGGCAATATACTTGTGTATATTCTGAATGAGGATAGTTCTTATGTATATTATTCATGGAATTTTTTAATTAGTTCACTCGATATGTGTTGGTGATGATAGTCACAAATTACAAGGTTTGAGAAATCAGGAATGGTAATGATTTTTCTCCATGCAAGGTGGAGTTATGTTGTGATGACAGTAGCTGCATAGCACTTCTGTTTTTGTTTTTGTTTGGACAATGGGTGGCATGACTGGGGCATCATCTACAAACATTGAAAGCTCTTTAATCTGCAAGAGAGAACAGGGAAAATTGTTAGCGATTTATGGATTGATTTTCCCCTTTTAGAAATTCTCCAAGAAGGCTGATCATGCTAAGTTAATTTTTTGTTAGTTTTGTATGATTATCTACATCTTTTTCTAAGCAAGCCTTTACATTTTCTGTATGTATAAAATCATCTTGTAGAAAGTTCATAAAACTTGTTTTGCATCATGGACTTACTTTGGCTATGTTTGAATGAGAGAAAAACTTAGGCTGATAACAAAATTAGGGCTATATCAGAGGGGCATTCCAAGTGTTCAAGTTAATTGTTGAAGAGCTATGTGTTTAGTTCTACAAGACTTGTGTGGCTGGTATCAGCTTTGTGTTTTATTGAAGAACTGTGTTTTAATAGTCAGAGTATATAGTTGATGTTCTCTGTTTGATGGTTGGTATGTTTATTTTATGTTCATTTGGCATCCTGAATTTACTACTTTTTACCTTTGATTGAAGAATGTGGGTTTTGATGTATATAGATGTATTTTTTAGCTGAAATGGGATTACCTGAAGGAGATTTGTGATATAAACAGTGTGCAAATGCATTTTGGTTGCAATTTTATGAATGGTATAGTCTTCCTTCTGGTTATATGTGATTGAATGGATTCCAGTTACTGGCCTTGAAATTAGTGAAATTTAAAATCAAATTGTAGATGTACGAGTTCCAATGATTCACTTAAACTGTCTTTTGAGGGTGGTTTCCCTAAGGCAGCAATATTGAGGGTTATGTGATATTGAAAAACCAACATTCTTTGAAGGTTCCCCCTCCTCCTATTGCTCATAACAATCCCATCAATAGCAATGCAGGTTAATTTTTCATCCAATTCTTCATGAAAAATAAGTGCAATCAACATTCTTTGGATTTCTGTTTTTATAGGGTTTCTTATTACCATTTTGTTTTTGTCAATGAAGGGATTAAATTAAGGGGTTGGGGGATCAAATGGTATAGTAGTTCTGTTGGTAAATTGGAGGATTAGAAACATGACTATTGCTTTCCAATTATCTGTTTTTGCATTAATTGCTATTTCATGTATTTTATTGTTTAGTGTGTCATTTAATTAGCTTATGGGCAAACTGGGTTTTCTGATCGATAGTCTAGTTCATTTTGAACCAGGTAGCTTTAGAACTGACTTACAAAATGGCCATTGCGAAGAAGGGGAAGTGACCGGTTCTTAATTATTTGCATAATAGTCAGTTTTTGTGGTAGTTACCGAAATGCACTTACTAACGGCTCACCATTTTTGTGTTATGCTACATTTGGAGCGATAAAAAGAAAATTTAGGGGATGGATTGAAGTTTAAATGGACGAAAAATAGAAGCAAATAAAAAATTGAATTATATTTTTGTAAATCAACTTTTACCTTTTCATTTTGTCTTCAATCGAACGAAAAATAATCAATATTTGTGTTTTATTTCTTTGAAGCATACCAGTACTACAAATGTGCATGCAAACACATTCTAAGGAAAGTTTCCAAATGCAAACCCGAAGCGAAAAATAATTGTAAAACAGCTTCAAGCACATATGAATAACAATTATGAAGTACAGAACCAAGTCAGGTTTCAAAGAACTGTTATAAGAAAAAATGGGGGAGGGTGGGGAGCAGCTAGGATCGCCCTAGCCCTAAGCAAGATCCTCACCATTGAAGGCAATAGTTCTTGTTCTTGTTTACAGATTCAAGTGTAAAAGTAAAACTAGAGGCCACCAGAATCAAATTGTGTTAATATAATCCACACCCTTCAATCTGCCTCGATGAAGACCAATATGATCCATGCCTATTTGGATCAACTCTTTTTCCAACGATGTCCTAAATTCCCAATACCTTCAGAGCAACTCCAATGGGAATGTTGTTAATACTTTATTGATTAACTTAAGTACACCAAAATCATCTTTAGAGAGTAACCCTTATTGGAACCCACTTTAATGTGGGCTGCAAGAAGAGCAACCTTAGTTCTCTTTTATTTGTAGGGCATAATACATAAATAATAATACAGTATGGAAAGTTAAGCATGACTGGAGCTGGGTCAGTTAAGCAAGGCAGATTGTGGGATTTTCACCACTTGCAATGGTTGATATCGACCAGAATGTTGCAAATCATTTGTGTAATAAAGCAAAATTGACCGTTAATAGTTTCATAGCATTTTCATTGCCCTGTACGTTGCAACGGTTGATCCATGGCTTCCAACTTCACCAAATGAGGTTTTGGCTTCCAACAGTATCCCAATTACTATAATCCTTTTTTTTTTTTTTTATAAACTGGATGCAAATTAAGATCAAATAATTAAAATATTAAAAATTCTGTGATGCCTCCATAGTTCTCCCCATAAGTCAATATGGGGGATATTATCCTAATTTTCATTCTTTGGTTTCTTTTAACCAAATGCCATATATAGGCAATATTGGGCTTAAAATGAATACATTTTTTATTCTCAACGATGAGTAGCGACAAAAATTATTCTAATAAACAACCACAAACATCAATGGGGTTTAGAATCTTATGTTTCTTTATTTTTCTCCCAAATTGACTTGATTATAATTAACGAAGATAAAAATTGAGTAATTATTCTATCTAAAGGATTACGATGAGGAGAGATATACTACTCATTCGATCATGGTTAAATGTTTCAGAAGTTCCAATTATAGAGGTTAAGGACATGCTTTCTAGCTAAGGATGAAAGACAATTATAATAAACATCATAGTCATAAATGAAAGACAAGAACAAGTGCACTAAATTCTCCTTGCCAAAAGATAAATTCTACACTTTAAAAGTTTGTTAAATGATATATCCAAGCCATTCCAAGGAAGAAAAATGGAAGCTTTAGGAATGATGTCAAGAAATATGCATTTGCCTTTTTAATATAAGATGATGAAGAAGAAACATTTAAATTTGATTACTTAAATATAATCTCATGAAATTCAAAGTTGAGAAGAGGTTCTTAACACAAAAATAAAAATATTTGCTTTAAGGGACATACACACCATTATTTTCAACATGATTGTTAAGGATGAGTGAAACATATAATATATGTATATATAATTATTACAACATGATCACGAAGATGAATAAAAAAAAAAATGATAATATTTATTTTTATACAATTGTCCAAATAATGATGTCTTTAAGATTTGAAGATTTTAACTATTCTCATCTTCAATTTTAAAAAGTAATTAGAAAGAAGAACATATTTTATATATATAATACATAGTCATCTTGAAGTATACTTATTGAAAGATATTCGAAAATATTTTAGATACAAGAATAACCAAAATTAAATTTGATTTTAATAATTTATGTATTAAATATAGAAACTCAAGTGAATTAGTTGGATGAATAGGCCACAAGGCAGCACTTGATCAGTTGCCGAATGATATTAGATTATAATGTTCGAAAGCAAAAGTGTTTGAAGCTATCTGGATTAGAAAAACTGTTGAAGTTTTCCTTGCTATGATGGCTCCAAAAGATTTTGATGGAAAATCTTCGCAAATATCTTTTGGCTCAATGATTCTGCTACAAACTCTTCATGTGAGTTATCATCTGCAGAACAACAGAATTTGTTGGATAAGAAGACAACTTTTTTCATGGATGCGACATGGTGTCACTTAACATCACAAGTAAAGTGAGAAACTCCGAATAATTAAGATTCCCCAAAGCTCTGTTTGTTATCCCACTCAAACGGCATTTGCACTCATTTCAATGCAAAGCACACTTTTGTAAGATCATTTCAAACGCAAGTTTTATCTTGTCATCTTGATTTTGTCACAAGGTACTGTTACCAATTACAAGAGTTGCTTATAGAAGCAACTAAAAAAGTGGAGATGCTCATTTTGTTTATAGAATGTGTGGCTGAAAGAAAAAATAAGCAACGTATCACCGTTAAAAGTCTCTGATACAAACAGGGACTAAAGGAAATTTATGTAAGCGATGATTATTGTTGTATTTTAATAAAATCAAGGGTTAAAGTAATTGATACTTATAATTTTAAGTTGCTGAAATGAGGGTTTATTCTTTTAGAAATTGTAAATATCAGACTGTTTGCCATTTCTCATACAGTCATACCACTTAATATATTGTATTTTAATAAAATTAATGTTAATCATTTATTTAAGATTAAATCATCACGCCTATAATTAATTCTTTTACTTAATGGGGGCAAAGATCGACCAAAGATCCAAGAAACGTTTATAGTCACTGTTTGGATCTTAAACACCGAAATTTAATTGCTACTATTTTACAATCTTTGTTGATATTTAGTTATTTATGGTTACACCACTGAGTATGATCGACACACTAAGTTTACAGTATTAGATCCATAACATAATGCTATGCCCCTGTACTTTAATCGCAAAATGTTCGTTGACATTTGTGGATTCCTTGTCTCTTAAATATGTCCGTTCATCATGTCAAATATTTAATGCTTGATTTCCAACACAAATAATTTTTTATTTACAGATCCACCTTTAACTTTGTGGGGGCAGTTCCAACTTATTTATTTATTTATTTATTTATTATTATTATTATTATTATTATTATTTTATCTTTTTTAATATATACATTATAATTATAAATTACTTTCATAATTTAAACTACAAGAAAAGAAAGTAATATTTAGTCAGCATATTACACAACTTAAAAATATTGGAAAACTTGTTATAGAGATTAACTTGTTATGGGAAAACTGACTTTCCCTCAATTTGATCAATTTACCAACTCTGCATGTTAAAAACAGAACAGAAACTCACCATTCCTGAATACGACATTATATGGCTAAATATATTTTGTTTGGATAATATTTTTCCGAAAAACACCTCTTATAAAAGAAAATAAAAAAAAAGATAAAATAAACTTCTTAAGTTAAAATTAATTTATTATAAATTAATATATTGAAGTTGTTTTATATTATATTATTAAAGTCAATAGATATTTATCTCAATAGCAAGATCATAGTACTGAAAAAAAATATTATATTACCAAAAACTTATTTTTAACTCAAACTAAATTTAACTCATTGAGAAACTTGCATTTTTCTTCTTCCTACTTTCTTGTTTATAAATGTTTTTTTTTTGGAAAAGTTTATCCAAACATTTTAGAGATGGAAGACTGAGAGTGGTTGTTGATTATGAGAAGAGCTTGCATGGCGAAGGACAGTGAGGAAAAGATGCTCAGTGCAAGGAATGTAGAGCTTTGAGTCTGCAACGAAATCATACTCATCCTGAGCTTGATCCAGCAAGGCCTTGAAGAGAGGATGGTTGAGCAACGTAATGTTGATGACATATCTCTTATGTTGCTCTCCCACGTACACAACCAAGTGACCCTTTGGCACATCGTTGGGGATGGAGTCTCCTTCATGCATGGATGTCCACACTTCCCATGAGCAGCAGTAACCATACGCAGCACAATGGATTACTCGACTCCCCATTTTCTTCCACTTGTTAAGGCACCCTCTTAGAAACTTTCCCTTCATGCTGAAACTCAATTATAGAGAGAGGGAGAAAAAGTACATGCAGTACACGGAAAATGAAAAGGTATATATAATTGCGGCATGCCAAGTACAAATGCATGGGTGTGTGCTTTTATTAGATAATAGTGAACCACGCGCTTCTTAAATGTTAATAATTTTTTCTTAAATTGAAAAACTTAAATATATATCATGGTGTAAACATTGGGACCTCCTTGGTTAAAAAATTTTAAGGTGAGGTTAAACTGTTAATTTATCCTGATCATAACCACACGGTGTTCAAAAACTTGCTAATAACTTAATTAGTGAGGTTAAACAATCCCATACCCTTAAACATAGTTGGTACAATCTTCTTAAACGATATTAATCATCTTCTGTAAGGTTGTTTTTAAACTATTTTTACTTGAGACAAGTTATACTACAATATATACCCTTCAACTAAAAGCCAAACACACAGTAAATGGTTGACATGATACGTCGTAGCTTTTGCCTGTGCAATAATCTCGGATACATCAATATCTGATATATATTATTCTAGTTGTGTTAGATACTTGGGATACATCAATATCCAATATATATTATTCTAAACCGTGTCAGATACTTTGCTGACCTTGGCGTCATAACTCCTTTTATAGCATTGCACCTTCCTGCGAAATTCTACGAGCATGCAAGTAGAATAGAAAATTGCAGAGCTAGGGAGAGTTATTCTCAGCTATGAATTCTTAAAATTGGTTTTTATTATGTTTAATTTAGGAATATTTTGATTCAATAAGCTTAAGTTAAAATTGAATGAAAGTAGTATTTTTATATTGTGAAAGAAGTCGGGTATTTGCTACAAATGCAAATTGTGCCAGATATCTACATTTGTCACCAATTAAAAACATGTTTAGTCTCAAACGCACAATTTCAGTTCTGAAAACCTAAATCCAAACACAGTGTTAGAGTGTATAGCTTACCTAGCTAGATTATGAGCATCCATTATTAAAAATGATTCAAATATTTACTGAAACAAAAACTACACTGTAATTCAATGTTCTAATTAAGTTAATGTCTTTCCCAGGATGTAAGGGCAGTGTCTTTCTCTGTAATTTTTGAAGGCCGGTGCCTGATGACTGACCTGTCGAAGTTCTTAAAGTTCAGACCCCACAACTTGGGGAGGAAAAGATAAGATATGAATGAGGAATGGGATAAAGTTTCTTGGGTGAAGTGCAAACCCACTTCTTTCTATTCAATTTCCATTTTTTTTTTTCCATATTTCTTTTTATCTTACAAGAGAGAAATATACAAAAGAAAATTTAATAAACTTTATGCAAGAAAAAATATATTCTAGTATATAACTATTCCTATGTGTTCTACACTTGTATCACAGATCAATAAACATGAGAAGTTCCAAACATGCATGTCAGAAAGTGTGCTACTCACATTTTTCTGTGTTATATTAAGAACATTATAAATTTAAAAGTATTTTGGAGAATTTTTTTTACTGAAAAATATTTTTTATTTTTAATAAAGAAACTTTTAAAATTATTTCTAAATTGTATTCAATATAGAACTAATTAGGCACTTTCTATGAACGTTGGTGTGTGTGTCAATTCTAGGTGCTTTTTCTAAGCATGTATTGATGTGAATTTTTTTATTCTTACTTGGACTATCTTAATAACCTTGAATTTATTATTCTGTTATATGTGCAAAAGCTTGCATTTTGCATGGAATAAGCCTATGGAGGATACTATCCGTACAATAAAATGTTAGTTATTCAGTCTTCTAGGAAAATGGGTTTGTAATTAGTTTTATTGTCCCCACGTAGCTCTCACGAACGTAGGAATGAGAATCTATTTTTTTTTAATATTTTTTCTACAATTAGAAAAGTGATGAGAAAAGAATAATGAGATAGAATGAATAATGTAATGAAAATAAAAAAGCAAAAAAGTTATATAAAAATTTTCATTATATTATAAGAATAAAATATCTGGATCTCTTTAAGAATATGGGCTATACATTGTATAAGGGATGGAAGAAAACATGTACAGTTGCAGACAGAAGAATGAGTGTTACAGTTCTTTACCCTGAAATCTTTGACCATCGATATATGAGACATGTTTGACTTGATTCCCGCAATCCGGTTTTTCATGCAAAATTCATTGATCTTTAGAATTTATATAAATCTTAACTAGGATATTGACATTCAACTCAATGGTATTGGTTTCAGATTCTAGTTTCAACCCCTTATTGATCTTCTTATCATAGCATTGTAGTACATGACATAATACAAAAAGTGTAACCAAAAGTATAAACTGAAAAAATCAAAGAACCGAAAAATCTGTGCCAGGACAGTTCATTTTGCCACTTTGCTTTGGTTGAGACTTGAGAGAGGTTGATGAAAAGGTGGGGTAGTTTTTAAAATCATACTTTTCATTGTATAATTACAAAATTATAAGGGAGATGGAAACTTAATTTTCTATGAAGAATAACTTTTAGCACTTGTACTGAAATAATTGTATATAATGGGGTTTGAGATTCCCTTTTTCCTTAGACAAATGCTCAGAGACCACTGAAACCCAAGATACTGACCTTTTAAGACAAAAGTGGGTCGTGCTTGGTTGTTTGAAAAGAATAGCATGTCCAATTTGACACAACCTGCAACAGTTTTCCAGATATAAGAGGGACCATAGGTCAAGTATATGTTTTTGAAAAGCCCTTCTGTGGATCTTGTGAAATTAATTTTGTAATAGATATACTATTTATTCAATATCATAATGTTAATGCAATTAAAGTCCTACTTAAGTAGAGCACCGATTCCAAATACAAGAAATAAACAATTTTTTCCATAGAAATTGGTCCTGCTAATAAACCAAAATTAACAAATCAGTAAAAGAAAGTGAAATTTCAATTTTCAGGAAATTTGATCATATTATAATTAATGCTTCATGATTTATGATTTAAAACTAATTTACTCTCCTCTTCTAATAACTGTTATCTTCTTTAATTTGTGCAAGAGTGTCTTTTTGTATTGTGTTCTAGAGCAATATTGTTGTTACTGAGAAATTGTTGATGTAACAGCTCTGCATACACACATATCCAATGGCTATCTGAGAAACATGACTTCAGTTATACGAGAGGGTGCTCAAGGCTAGATGAGGAGAAGTGGAACCATAGGGAACTAGTTACTAAAGCATTAACATACATGCAATCTACTATCCATTTTTTGCACCGAAATTATTTGATTTGACTTGTTTTGCTCCCATTCCACGTGCATTTCTGTGTTCACATGAGCTGGTGCTACATGCCACTCTATCAATTTGTCCCAAAGTACCCCACCCACATCCCTCTATTAATTCCTCTCCATGCTTCTTTTTAGGGAGCAATGCCTCTCTGTACTCTTACTGTGAGGATTTGGTTTGGTCAGAATTGTGTGAAATTTAAATTTGTGTCGGTTGTGTATGGGGAAGGAAACCTTGGTTTTAGTCAATTTGGTGACTGAACCGATACTTAGGCTAAACAATAATAGTTACTCTTTTCTTTGGAAGAAAAAAGGGTCCTAGTCTTTAGATGTCATTCCACCATTTGAGTTTTAAATAGTTTTAATGTGTGATTGTTACCGGTCATTCGCAGAGTATTGGTGATACTTGTAAAAACACTTTAATACTAAGTTAAAGATGATATTTGAACATAATAATAAGTTTGTATAATTAATATAATAGTTAATTTAGTTGATAATAATAAATTTGTTTTATTGATATATTTTTTTAAAAAATTAAATCTTTTTTTAATTAATATTCATATTTTCTAATCAATTATAATATGTGTTATATTATTTATCTCTCATAATTAATATTTATTTTTGATTAATTAGAGTGTTAAAGAGTTTATAATTAATAATTTTATCAAATTAAGAGAATATATTTTAATTAAGAATATTTTAATATAAAAATAATTAATATATGAGATAATATTAATTTAATCTTATATAAAACAACACAATTATTTTAAGTTAAGACTTAATAATAATATGTATATAATACAAAAACAACATGTTTATACTAATAAAAGATGTTACCCGTCATTAACTTAATTTAAAGACATATTATTACTTGTTTAAAAGATAGTAATGATTTAACGTTATTCTCTCACGATTCCTTTTGTAATAATATACATTTTGGATTACAAAGTTCTAAACTACTCTCTTAAAGTAGGGTAGGTGTTGTATGAAATTGATGGTAAAAAATGGGTACTTTTATTGATAAATGTGACTGAGATATGATGTATTTCAGTTATTGTTGATTCGGTGTTGCTTTTGTTTTAAAATAAATGCAACTAATTTTGATAGAATTGATATTATATCATTGAATGTAATAAAGATGTATGTTCAAAACGATGATGGAGTAGCTAGATATTTTTTAATAGAAATTAGTGATTAAAAAAATCAATACTTTGTATTAATAAAATAATTAAAATTAATAATAATCTCAATTTTAGACTTTATATCAGAAAGTGTGCACTGCGTAAGAAATTGGTTACTTGTGCAAAATAAACAGCCCTTCGATCTTTTGTTCACCGTTTACCACATCCCTGCATTTTTAAGAAGAATGATGATAGTAAAAGATATATATTTAACAAAAATAATTGTCTCACATCCTGTGGAGGGTTGTGAGATGCGTGAGAGAAAGAGACAAAAAAAAAATAGAAGAAATAAAAGATGTGATAAATACTGTGATGTATAGGAAAGAAAGAGTAATGTACGAAAACTAAAGTTGTATATTTAGTTAAGCATTTGCATCTAATATTTAAGTGGATCTGGATATTTTTCACGTTACAACTTCGTCAAATATTTTCTTGAATTTAAAAATGAAAGCACTGTGCAACTCTTGGAATCACAATCCAAGTACTTTAAGAGGTGCATATTATAAAATATAAAAAAAAAAAAAAAAAAAAAAA